TTAACAGCCGGGTGTTGGAGGACCCACACCCAGGTCCCACCCGTGCTGGCAGGTGTTTAATGCAGCCCTTGGAACTGAGACCTTGCTGGTGGCTTGTCCCCACTGTCCTGGAAGGCTCTGCTCATCAGGAGAACAGCAGGCTGTGCCCTAATTCCCATTCTGACAGCTGATGGGAAAACAGGAGCACAGTGAGAGGCTTTGGTTTGTCTGGGAGAAACGATGGGGTAGGACCTCGTGTGAGCTGTGAAAGGAGGGCTGCTGGATCGTGTGAATGATGTGCAGAATTGGGGCAGTCAGATGGAGAGGGAACAGCTCAAAAAGCAGAAAACACCAATAACTCTGTTTCTGCAGAGTCTGGATGCCCCGATTGAAATCTGATCTCCGGACAAGGGAAATGGGAAAGGACTAAAACTGTGCTTCTGCTGAGATCTGTGCCTGGGTTTTGTACAACACAGTGGGTGTGAATCCAGGGCTAAAATCTTTCCTACAATCCTGCAGATAACATGGTGTTTTCTCACCATAGATGTCCTGTCCCCCCTTGAAGCATCACATAGGGTGGAGCAGGCAGCTCCAGGTGGGTGCAGAGCCCAAAGCCTGGACTTCTTCATCTCCTCTGGGCCTGCCCTCGCTGCAGTGGCAGCTTCCCCCCGGCTCCCTGGGCAGGGGGACCCTCAGAGCCCCCGGCCACAAGCCCCATCTGCCTCTGCCAAGGCGACCTGCGAGTGCCCGGGGCAGGAGCACGGCCGGTGCCACCTCTTGTCTCCTATTCTCTAAACTACCTTAAACTCTAAACTTCAACATATTCACCCAGTGACTCAAGCAACCTTCTAATTCACACACTTAAATTTCAGTCTTTTCTACTTAACTCTAACAGTTGTCTCCATGGTGCTATGTGAAACTCAGTGCTTTCTTGGGTGTCAGAGTTATGCATTACAGATAAAGGTATGTATCTTGCATCTCTGACCCCAAAAAATCTCCTGTAAAGAGAGCTCGGCCTTTTTTCCCACACTGCAGTTCATACTGGTACAGATGGGCAGGAGGTGCCCTGAAACAGAATAAACACTGCTGAACTCAGGTGGGCACTAGGAAATGCCAGACTGTCCCAGGAGTGAAAGGATTTTTTATTTTTAGTCTAGACAAAGACATTAAAAACACTCCAGCAAGAGCTGGTGTCATATGTGGCATCACTGCTCTTTGAGACCACAGTGAGGAAAGCAGTGTGAAACCAAGCTGTGCCCAGCAGGGTTTGAAGTGTGGTGCCTGCAGCAGTGGATGGATATTTTCATCTTCCTTTGATGTGCTCAGAGTGGCACCTGGCATTCCCAACTTTGAGAGTCATGAGAAATTACCTCAGTCCTGCAGTGAAAGAACATTCTGAATTTTGGGTAAACTGAGCCAGGACTCAGACTTATCTCACTCAGAGAGAAGGTGAAATACAGGGAAATGCCAGCAAGGTGATTGAGGGACTGGAGCATCTGACATGCTCAGGCTGAAGAGCTGAGATGGTTTAGCCTTGGGAAGAGGTGAAACCTTAATTAACCGGTGTGCACAAATACCTGATGGGAGGGAGTAAAACTTTACAGGCTCAGACTGTTCTGGGTGGTAGCCAGTGAAAGAAGAGGCAACAGGCACAAATTAAAATACAAAAAAATGCTCACAGAAATAAGAAAAAACTTTTCCTACCATGAGGATGGTCAAACACTGGAAAAAGTTGTCCACAGTGGTGGTGGACTGTTGATCCTTGGAGAGATTCACAACATTACTGGGCGGGGTCCTGACCAGTCTGCTCAGGTTTCAGCAGGGGATTGGACTGGAGGATCTCCAAAAGTCCCTTCAATGTCAATGATTCCATGCTCCAAGTCTGTCTTGGCCCCTCTGACATCAAATCCTGGCAGGGAACCTCACCACTCACCTTCTAAACAAGTGAAAAGCAGGGAACTGTTCTCATTTATTTAGGGCAACTATTTGTATTTATTTAGGGAGTGACAAAAATGCTGGGGGTAGAGGCCACCTTTAATCTTGTTTGCTTTTTTTTTTAAATCACCCCAAAAATTCTTGTGAAGCGCCTGTAATTTGTTCTGATAGCATCCCCTATTTCAGAAAATAAAATACTTGTTGCTCTTTGAAATGAAACTTGTCATAAATACGACATTGAAAGCTACTGAATTGCCAGTTTCAATTGTTTAAAAACTGTTACACAGCAGAAACTCACCTCATGTATTGTTTCTAAGTCTCAGTGTAGCAAATTTTGTAAAGAACAGAACTTTGGCAAGGATCTATTTTCCACATCTCCACAGTTTTTCATATAAGGTAATGTAGTAGATAGTCAAGCTGCTAATTGCACCTTCAGCTGTTTTAATTTATTTTCTACTTCCTCCTTCCTCTGAACAGCAATTTGTCCACATTTGTGATGTTAGAACATTCTTTTGCTTCTTGTGCCTCTTCTTCTCATGCATCACACCCCTGGGAGGAAGATTTCCAGAATGCAAGAAATAATTACTTTCATTAACAACAGGAAAGCAAATTCAAAGGCTTTAAAGGTGCAGGTAATCTCTAATTTTAGCCATAACAATGCATTTACTGTCAATTTAAAGCTTCTACTTATCCTACCTTCTAATTAACAACTCTTCTTGTTTGACTTAATGTAGTTTTTAGGAATGTCACTGTTACTTGTCTGAAGTCAGAAGCCTTTTTGGAGTCCTAGAAAATGGAACACATTTTAAATGTTATGTTATAATTTAATGCCGAGAGACATCAAAACCCATCAAATTTTAGTGCAGCTGCCTGGCTGCTCTTGTCACAGAGAGAACCACATGAGGGGAAGGAAAGGACTACAAAAAATGCACTAAACAGGCATTAACAACAAGCAGGGCAAGCTGGCACCGACTGCCCAGGGAAGCTGTGGAAGGAAAACCCCTCGAAGTGCCCAAGGCCAGGTTGGAGGGGGTTTGGAGCCAGCTGGGACAGGGGAAGATGTCCCTGCCCATGGCAGGGAGGGCTTGGAAGTGGATGAACCTCAAGGTCCTGCCCAGGCCAGGGGTTCAGGGATTCTCTGAGCCTCCCACTGCTGGGATGGCCAAACTCTGCCCAGGGACAGCTGCAGCTGGGGGAAAGCTTCTGGGTTTTTGTGTGTGCACCTGAAAGAGGTGCAGGATGGAAGGGATGAGATGAAGAGAGGAAAGAGAGACAAAGAGAAAAAAAGTGAGACAAGAAGAAACAAAAGACAAGAGAAAGTAAAAGAGGCAAAGCAAAGAGGAAAGAGAGGGAAAGAGGGGAGAGAGGTGAAGACAAGACAGGACAAGGGGACAAAGTTGGGCAAGAGAGAGGGAGAGAGACAGAGAAGCACAAAGAGGGGAAAGGGGGTGAGAGAGAGGCAGAGGGACAGGGAGAGACCCTCACAAAGACAACACACAACAAACAAAAAAGAGCAAATAACATCAAAGAAAGATGGGAGCCAAAGAGTGAAGAAGCAAATCTTTATTACAACTGCAGTAATCACCTTCTTTTCAGTTATACGTCCTCAAATATATTTCTGTACAGCTTAGTCATTTGAGAAAACACAGTTTTATATCGGTTTAAATGCAGATTGATACAAAACCAAGGACAACTCTACAAAATGCAAAACACCCTTGGACAAAAGTCTGTGCAAGTACAGGGCTTTAGAATGAAATACAGGTGACAGAACAAATAACATGACCCTATACCATTTCAATCTCTCAAAAACCCAATCACTTTAAATACACATAAATAAAAAATAAATAATATATAAATAAAATAATAATATATAAATAATGCATTTTTTAAAAAGCAAGTACATAGGGGCAAGACACATTTTCTACACACGTGCAGGACATTCAAATGCAATACAGCTACAGAATAAAAATGAATACACAAAGCTATGCAATTCCTGACCAACACGGGGTCATACAAAACTGTAGAACATAACTTAAGCACAACCATAACCCAAATCCACAATCCTAACCCTAAAACCTAACACTAACCCTAATCCCTAACACTAAACATAATCCCCAACTAAAATCCCCAAACCCTAACCTTAAACTAACCCTTAACCCTAAACCCTAATCCTAACCCAAAACCCTAACAGAAAGCCCTCCCTTTTTCCCTACCCCACACCTGAACCCCAAACCTCAAACCCCAAACCTCAAACCCCAAACCCACGACCCACGCCCAGCTGTAGAACCGCCTTTGACCACCAGGTGCCATCAGCGAGTCACTGAGCTCAGCGCGCATGCGTGCTCTCCGCCGGCAGGTGACGTCATTCACTGAGCTCAGCGCACATGCGTGCTCTCCGCCGGTAGGTGACGTCATTCACTGAGCTCAGCGCGCATGCGTGCTCTCCGCCGGCAGGTGACGTCATTCACTGAGCTCAGCGCACATGCGTGCTCTCCGCCGGTAGGTGACGTCACTCACTGAGCTCAACGCGCATGCGCAGTTTCTCCGGCAGGCGGCTGCGCTCCCCGTGCCGCTCAGCAGGCGGCGGCGGCGACTCAAAATCCCCAAATCTCCGTGTTCGGGCTCGTTCCAGCGACAGAAACACCCAGACGCGGGGAGATCTCTGCTTCCTCGTATACGTCACCTCTTCTGACATCTTCAAGCCACATTCAACTTATATTTGCATTTGAAAGCCCTAAAATTCTATATTCGGGATTTCTTATACTCTAAAGTCCTGTATTTGCTATAGCAGATACGGGGGGTTATTTTAAAGTCAATTTTTAAATAAACTACCATTGTCTGTCAATAGATATAAAAATGAAAAACTGCAGTTTCAGTATTTGACACACACGCACACCCTCCCTATGAATTTTCAGGCACTTTGTGGCTGTAACCTCCCTTTTTGGGAGCTGACCGCGCCCGTGCCCCCGCACCCATCTCTCCCCGGCGACATTGGGATGCCCCAAATGACGTCACCAACCCCTCAGACTCAAACTCCCGGCAGCCACCGCGCGGCCCCGCTATGCACTTCCTGTCCGTTACGTCATCTCTGTGCGCCGCGCGCGGGCAGTGCCGCCGCCATGGTGCAGCTCGGTGAGTGCGGCGGGCTCGGCCCGGCCCGGCTCGGCTCGGCTGGGCCGGGCCGGGCCGTGACCACCCCGCGCTTTCTCCGCAGGGAGCCGCCTCCTGAGGGGCTACCGCGGCGGCCACGTCGTCATCCGCTTCGCGCTCGGGGGCTGCACCAACCGGCCGTTCTTCCGCATCGTGGCGGCCAACAGCAGGCGCGCCCGCGACGGGAAGTACCTGGAGCAGCTCGGCTGCCTTGACCCGCTGCCCAACGCGCACGGCGAGAAGGTGGCGGGGCTCAACCTGGAGCGGCTGCGGTACTGGCTGGGCTGCGGCGCGCAGCTCTCCCGGCCCGCCGAGAAGCTCCTGGGTAAGCCTGGGCGGGCACGGGGACGGGGAATGGGGGGGCCCGGTTCGCTCCCGCTCTCACCGCGTCTCACCGGGCAGGGCTGGCGGGGTTCCTGCCGCTCCACCCCATGACGGTGACCGGCGCCGAGAGGCTGCGCCGGCGACGACAGCGCGAGCAGCAGCCCGAGGCTGCCCCTGCGGACGGCTCGGCCGAGCCCGGCACCGCGCCCTGACACCGGGAGGGTCTCGGGCGGCCGGGACTGCACCGGCCCGCGGACTCCTCCTGCCCTGTCAGTGCATCTGACCCCATTAAAATGTTACCTCTACACCGTCCATCTGCTGCTTTCTCCAGAGTCTTCTCAATCAAAGTTCACTGTTGCCAAATTTAGTGGATGAAGGAGGTTTTGGTGCTCTAGTGCAGTGCAGGACCGTTCCAGAGGAATGTGCAACGCTTCCTAGGCATGCCACAGGCTCCAGGTGCTCTGCCTGCAGTAGTGGCATGTCCTCTGCCAGCTGCCCTTGGCCTGCTCCCCTTGTCAAGTGTTTTGAGTCCTGGCTGGGATTTACTGTAACAGAGCGGTCCAGAGGTTCAGGGGAGGCCTGGCACAGACAAATGCCAATGGAAGTGCAGCTGGTTTTCTGTTTACTTTCTTCAGAGAGGTTCTGGGCCTATTTGTTCATTTAAAAGCAAAAGAGAAATATTTCAGTCTCATGTGAAAAGGAGCTGAGGAAGTGAACTACAAGTCCTGTTATTTAATCACATATTTGACCCTGCTCCAAGAGACAAGAAACCCATCAAAGTCTCTCTCCTACTTCAGATGCACCCTAAGCTTTTTGGGGTTCCTTTGCTGCAACTCTTAGATGATTTTACAAATACCAGAGGAAGACAAGTTTCCAGTGTTGCATCTCTATAAAGCTGGTAGTGTAACCAGCCCAGCAGAGGATGAGTTGACAAAATATTTTAAGAAAAGGGCCTGGCTTGTTCTCACAATACTGAGAAAGAGTGGTTTCATTTCTGCTCATGGGTGAAAGATTAGGTGAATAAACAGCTGTTCTTGGAAGTGACTGAGGCTATGAAAAGTTGTGTTGCTTTTCTATTACACCTCCCTTCTATGCATTTGATATGTTCAGCATCACATTTTCTATAAAATGGTAAGTGCACTCTGGTGCACTGGCTTCCAGGAAATTCCCCTCTAGATCTCCTTTCCTTGCTCCAAGTGGAAGGTTTGCATCAGCAGTGTTTTTCTTACCATAATCCAAAGGTACCACACAGCTTTTCCTTTCTGGAGCTTTCTGCTTTGAACACAGGGTCTGTCTGCAATGTTTCTTTTATGACATTTCTGTGGAGCCCTGGCTTTTGGCCCAATTTAAAAAATGCAAACAAACAAAACCAAAACAAACCCCACATAACACCCCAGCCTTACTTTGTTATTAAATAAAGCATCCCACAGTTATCCACAAGGCAGTAAAATAATTGTTTTCATGCCCTTTCCCATACTAAGAGCTCTGGGGCTGCCTGCAGTGCAGGAGGGTGAGGGACTATTGGTATCACACTAATTTTGCATGGCACAGTGGGAACAGGAGGCAAATGAAAGAAGTTCTAAGAGGAGAGTCTGGAAGTGCCTCAGCTAACTCCCTCTTCATTGTCCATGGAATCACTGGGCCTGTTTCTTCTTATTGACCAAATTAATAACTTTTTCTAGATGTATAAACTCTTCCATGTAGGTCAGGAGAACAGTTTGTGCAGCAATGCAGAGCCTCTGGGCCACCAACCCCAGCCTGCTGTGGAAGCAGTGGGGCTCTGTGCACAGATACACAGTACTGTGTACCAGGATAGGAAAGCTCAAGCTCTAAAAAAGAATAAAAATAGGCATGCTGGGCACATAAAGCATAATTCTCAGCTGCTGTGCTGCTGACAGCAGATGAAGGCTGAGAACAAATTACACTGAACATTTCTAGTACCTTGGGAACAGTGAGAAGTGCAGGGCTGGGAAAAAGAATGTGTCTGAGGCCTCCTGGAATTTGGTAGAGAAAAAGAATTGTAGGTACTTATGAGCACTGAATGCCATTTACACTTTGGACTGAACCTGCCTTTCAAAAGATCATCTGATACTTTTCTCTGGAGCCGTGAAGAGCCCCTGTTGTTTAAGGGGGCTGTGGGTAATAATGGAGTGTATAGGATGTAGGTTTGAGGGCATGTTGCTGTAAACACTTCACTGAATACTTCACAGCAAGAGCTTGGGAAAAGGAGCAAACATTTTCCTTTCTTGGCAGGAAGAAGCATTGTTCCAACTCAGCTGTATTCCATCCCCTCTTCCCCAAAGAGTTGTGTGGGCTAAAAAAAAATAACTGTAGTAAATCAAAAATAAATGAAAGGAATAGGCATAAAGCAAAAGCAGAGTAGGGGATCATTAGGCTGGCACACAGCAAAGGCAGGCTTGAAGAAAGCTATGGGTGAAGCTCAGACTTCAGCACAGTAATTCTGCAAAGCACTGACAAGAATACTGTTACATTCCTCATGTTTAAGTAGCTCTAAGTAGTTTAAGCTTGGTTAGCACCGTACTCACACAACCCAAAATCTTCATTTCTGCTCTGATGCTGTGATTTCCTCTGCTGGCTGTTCCACTGGCTATTGCAACAAGATTTGTTATCCTTTTTTGAGAGAAAGCTATCCCTGGATCCTAGAAGCAAGAACAAAACAAACAAATAAGCTTATGTACATGGCTGATAATGCATCACCCCCACTGCAGACTCCCCCCAGCCTGCAGACTGCTACTCTGGGCATACCTTGCATCTGAATTCATCTCATTAATGTTCCTCATTGCCTACTTTCATCCTGCTCCCTGGACTTCCATGTTCAACACAGGATGAAGCAACCTCTCCTTTGTTTACTGTTAACCCTCTTTGGGGCTTGGACTGTGCTGTTGCCTTACAGATCTAAAAAGAACCTGGCCACCACTGTGGCTGGGGGCATTAGGCAGCAAGCTGCCATCACCCAAAATTCTCATTATTCCATGCATTTACCATTTCTGCACGGGATATATGAGGGAGAGTACTGACAAAGCTTTTAACATTAAAAACTTCTTGTACAGCATAGGACATTGTCTCCTCAGAACCTTCAAATACAGCAAGGACTGCAACTCCAATTAAGGGTTCTGGTAAAACACCTCCAGCTTGTCCCAGTGCTGTTGCCCTGCAGGTTTTGCTGCTGTCTTGCAGCTTGAAATTTGTCAACTGACCCTGCTACAGGAGCAGCAGTGATGGAAAGTTGCTGCAGGCATTTTTCCAGTGAATATCCACAAAAACCTTCCTTGCAGAAAAGCTGGCCTAAATGAACAATTATGAAATAACAACCACAGGTTTGGAAAATGTCTATTTAGATAAACAGATGCTGGAGATTTGCTTTGGCATTTCAGCCCTTGGTACTCAAAGAATTTTCAAGATGTGTATTGGACTTGTGCAGTCCATTGGGTGTTGTTATGATAATGGCATCTAAAGGTTTCTCCTCTCTCCTGAGGCTGTCTTCCAGTCTGAGGGAGAATACACATTAAGAAAGCTACCTTTTACACAAATTCTTTTTTTAATGAAGTGTATCTCCTGTAGAGTGCAAGATGCTTAATTATTCGTTTGTAGAAAATAAATTGACCAGAGAACTCTTTTAAATACTTCCCAATATGGTTTATACATACATAGATACATATTGTATTTTTATATATAAATTTTATTCTCTTTGATTCATGAAAAGATTTATTTTTCCAACCAAAGAACAGCAGTTCTGAAATCGTGAGGTTGTCTTTCTGAGTGACACAGCAGAGGCTGAGGGAGCTGCAGACATGCTGAAATGGTTACAGGTTGCTTAATTACAAACATGTGAAAACCAGTTAGGTCTTTTCTCCATCTCTCTCCCCATTTTCCCTGCTTCTGTACACGTGTAATAAATACATTTACAAACATCCACAAATAATTGCCATGAAGTAACCTTTAATGATATGGACTTAATCAAAATTAACCTTTAGGCATCACTGAAAAACAGCACAGCATAAAATCATTTTCCTGCCTAAACTCATGCATCTTTTTTTTTTTTAATCAGTAACTTGCAAAGTTAGACAGAATATTTGAAGCCTTTGGATTCCAGAAGGGAAACATCACGTTGCAGTTCACAGTCCACCAGTGACCATATACAGCAATTTCTGTAAAATACAAAATGTCTGACAAAGGAAGAGAATAAACAAGTAAGCAATGCCTCTTTTTAAAGTTATTTCTAAGGATTTGGTGCAGCTTCCAACTCTGCATGATGGTGACAGGCTCTGTTGTTTTTTTTTTCCAGAAACCATTAGTATTGCTCAAAGCCCCAAATTAACACACACTGATGTTGACTTAAAAATACTGTGTATGTACCACTACATAAATATATATGCAAAATAAAGTCCATATCCCATAAAATAGAAAAATGTAATATAGAGTCTACTGGGCAAGGCATACAGGCATACAGTTTTATAACTACATAAATGTAGTTGATATTATTTACAGATGGAAATGGAGACAAACATTATCATCAAATACATTGATTTTATTATTTTTTTGAAGATTTTCACTTGGAACAAAATGATCTGCAACTCCAGCTACCTGGAAAAGTAAAGTGCTCACAATCCATTTAGTGCAATAATGCTGGCTACAAAACTTAAAGAGGAGAAAAAAACAATTAAGAACTAATACCACATTAGCTAGTGGAACCAAACAAAAAATAAGTTTTGAGTTTAAAAGTTTGAGAAGATACGGAAGAGAAATTAAGATAACAAAGCAGACTAACAAGAAAAGAATAATTCTTCAAAGTCAAGTCTTTAGATTGTCAGAAATTAGAAGTGCCAAATGTTGTTTCTCATGGTATTTTGTCCCAGCTTTATCCTGAACATTCTTGGAGACAGCTGTCCCATAATCAAGGAAATGGCACAGACATTCCTGCACATATGACACCATGTAAGCCCAAAGAAAGAAATGAAAGATGAATGTACTCATCAGTCTGACAGCTGACAGTCCTTTATCTCTCAGTGCTTGACTTCGTAATTTCAGCAGTATTCCTTTGTTTAAGTCAGTACTGAGTAGTACGAAACTTGCTTCTAAAATATAATAATTGGGAGCAGATGATAAAAATGAGGGGTTCTTACAAGTTATGTTTTCAGCACTGGATTACAGCAAGCCACAACAACTAAAGATTATACATATTATTTCACCTTGGCATCATAGATCAGAATAAACTTAGGTGAACAGTGAAGTACAACCCATTTAAACAGAGTGACTCTCCAGAGAAAACCATTCTTCTGGATCTGGACCAAATATAATCTCTACAGGGATGCCATGCACAGCACAAGTGAACACCAAAATGCCCACCAGTCTTGGTGAAATTTGGCTGCCTACCCAAATACAGAGGCAGGATGACAGGGGCTTTAGAAAGAGTTTTATTAATCATTTAAAATTAACTCCTGACCTTAACTAGAACTTGTAAAAATTCTCACACACCACCTTCTAAAATCAGAATAATTAAGAAATCTCTCAGATAATGAAACCCAATGCCCTTTTACTGGTTTCACTGAGATGTGGAAGATGCAGCTCTAATTGACAAGCACTTAGTCACTGATCCCCAGACTTCAGAATGTCCCATGGTAAAATTGTGTAAACAAGAATGATGTGATGCAGGCTTACATACATTTTTCTTATGAGTAAAGTTCTTCAGAATAACCTTCTGCCCAAGGGAGAATGATGGGAAAAGACCTTTCTCCCGAAAACTGGGTTATGGACAACTGCTAAATTGGATTATGGACAAATCCTTCTGCTAAGTCATCACAAATGCCTGTAGTCTTAATTAAACTCTAATGAGGAAGGAAATACGCATGTATTGGCAAACATCACCAAGGACCACAGGCAGGACCTCCAGAGTGGGGTGTGGGAGCCAGGCCACAGAGCTTTCAGCCCACAGGGGTGTCTTGTAGCAGCTCTGCTGGTGGGAGCTCTGTGCACCCAGAAGCCCCTGGCACTTAGCAGAGGATTTACACCACCCAAGCAAGACC